ATCTCTGAGTTCAAAGCCACACTGGAAACAGCCAGGCATGGTGACACAAGCCTTTAATCCCAGGAAGTAATGGCAGAAAGCAGAAAGGTATATAAGGCGTGAAAACCAGGAACTAGAGCTTGGTTAAGCTTTTAGGCTTTTGAGCAGCAGTTCAGCTGAGATTTACTCTGGATGAGGACTGAGAGGCTTCCAGTCTGAGGAAACAGGATCAGCTGAGGAACTGGCAAGGTGAGGTGGCTGTGGCTTGTTCTGCTTCTCTGATCTTCCAGCATTCACCCCAATACCCAGCTCCAGGTTTGTTTTTATTATAATAAGACCTTTTAAGATTCCTGCTACAGGACCCCACATAGCAGGGCACTGAGCTCATGGCCCACTAGGTGCTCGACCGACATTGTCTCCAGCCAGAGAAGGCAACACTGGCCAGGCATGTAGGGGAGGTACATGGCCTCATGTGGTTACCGGCAAAGCTATAATACCTTGGTAAAGTGGGACAGCCCTGGCCACAGCCTCACCATTGCTCCCTCCAGGTGTTCACAGGCCAGTTGTTCCCCACACCCCGCCCCCACACCCATCCCCTGGCTGCTGTCAAACACACTTAGAAGGGACACACAACAGGTTCCTGGAGACTGCTCATGGCCCACAGCACCAACACAAAGCCAGCTGGGGGAGGGGGAGGGGGAGGGGAAGGGGAAGGGGGAGGGGAGGAGGGAGACAAGGTGCCACTGGGCAGGGACCTCAGCAGGGGGAGAATGTTGCCCACCTTTCCTGTGAGGCGTCCAAGTGTGGAATCACAGGACAGACCTGGCTGCTCACACTGCTAGAGGCCATGCTGGGTGAGGGGCTCTGGTGTCCACCACAGACCTCCCATACCTGCCCCTCCCACTTACAGAATACGCCTGAGGGTTTCTGTGCCACCACGGGGAAGCTCTGCCTCAGAGGACTTTAATCCCAGCACTCAGGGTGGGAGGCAGAGGCAGGCGGGTCAATGTGAGTTCGAGGCCAGCCTGGTCTACAGAGAGTTCCAAGACAGCCAAAGATATACAGAGAAACCAAATCAACCAACAAGACAAGACAAAACAACAAAAAAAAAGGCTGAGCATTGAGGCTGGTGCCACAGGCTTAGAATTCTGAACTGGGAACTGTGGTCTGGACAAGCAGATGATCTGTGGGACCCTTGCTCAGAAGGCAACCTGCCTCCATCCCCTCCTCTCCCCCTCGGACAGGGTTTCTTTGTGTAGCCCTGGCTGTCCTGGAACTCACTCTGCAGACCAGGTTGGTCTGGAACCCACAGAGATTTACCTGCCTCTGCCTCCCAGGTACTGGGAGTACAGGCGTGCGCTGCCGCCGCCGCCGCCGCCGCCGCCACCACCACCACCCGGCTCTGCCTCCATTTTTAGTAGATGTAAAAACAGTGTCACCTGCCTTCCAGGCGACTGTCAAGCTGCAAAGCTGGTGTGAGGTCTACTTGGAAGGCAGTGCTGGTGGACATTAGCATTGTTTTTGAAATCAGATGATGCCTTAAGACAATTATTAGCAAGGTGTCACCCGGCCCATGTGGAGCCACACCCCTCACCCTGTGATGCTCAAGGCTACCTGCCTGCTACAGGCGCAGCACAGGGCAGCTGCCCAAGACTATATAGCCCCCAAATCTCAACGAACACCTGGTCCTTTACAGAAAGCTTGCCAGCCCCGGTTCTAAACAAACGAACAGCCGCTGTGGACTACAGCTGTCCTGGGACCCCCTCTCCTGCAAGGGCACATGGGAGCGGAGGCTAGCACACCTTGGAGGGGAAGCGGGCACAGTACCTCTGGGTGGGTTAGAAAGTGAGAACATGCTAAAACGACGATATTGGCATTCAGGGACGCAGGGAGCCATCTTGCCACGGGCCACCCAGAGCTGAAGTTTGTTTTCACCATGAGCCACTCCTGTTGGGCCTTTCCACGCCTCACACGGCCTGAAATGCACGGTTAGTTTGCAGTCAACATACGACAAAGGATCAACACACGGGCAGCAGGTCAGACACCTCACAGCTTCTCAGAAACTAAGGCAGACTCCACCAGACGCCAGGGCACAAAACCCAGGTTAACAAGATGGGCACCACCACAGTAGAGGAACAGCACACCTCAAGAATTGAAGCAGCATGCTCTTCAACGCCTTCCGTGAACTCACTGTAGGGCCACCTTGCAGCTCTGGGTTTGTGCTGGCTGGAAATGTAATGCGTTCAACTATTCCTCTGAGTATCTTGGCTAGGGAAGCCGACTGCCATCGGCTCTGCCAGTCAGCACCAGAACGAGGCACCTAACGGCGGCCACTGCCATTCTGGATCTCATGGAGTCAGGAACACAGCACCACCCCAGGGGTTCTAGACAGCTGCTTGTGGCAGAGCCCGAGACTATCCATACAGGGTGCTCCACTTCTGACCACTGGTCAAACCTGCCTTCCCATGAAGGCTCTGGGGGCCACACTGTATGAAGGTCACTGGCTGTTTCCGCATGAAGCAGAGACACAGCTGTCAGAGAAACGATGACACAAGGTCTCACATACTGCATAGCCCTTAAAAGCAAAGCAGTGTTCTAGTGTGCAGCTATGGTGGATACAGACAGAACTCCCTATGTGGCTCCAGACAGCCTTGACCTGACGAGGGAACACGCCTGTCTCCCGAGTGCTAGGTTTAAAGGTGTGCACCACCATACCCAGTGAGCTTATCTTGTCATGTGGAGTTCGTGGTCCCCTTCAGAACACAGCTTGGACTGAAAGACCAAGGGCAGCATGGGCTCATCCAGGAACACTCTTTGAGACTGGGGGACCAGCTAGGCTTCCTGCCCAGGGAGGCCATGAGTGATGCACCCACATTCTGGAGATGGACTTGGAAGCCTCTGGTAACTGAGGAGGAAGGAGAAAGGTCCTCAGTGCTCCCTGGACGGCTGCCAGAGCTGCTGCCCCTTGTGTTGTGGGTTGAGGGAAGAGATTAGATCTTGTTGCTCCTCCCCTAGACCCCAAGAGTAAGGTGTCTTGTCCCTGGACTGGCAGACATCTGCTGTGGGAACAATGACATTCGTGATTGAAACTTCCATTACAAGAGGCGACTTTGAGGCACAGCATGACACCTGCCCTTGAGTCCCCACACTAACCTAGTCTGCGAAATATGGGATTTAAGGTGCCATCCGTCAGCCAATAGTGATGGCCAACCAGGAGTGAACTGTGGCAGAGAGGCCACTCCACAATAAACGGCTTCCTGAAGGAGAGGACATGGGTTTCCTGGGCCCCCTTGCTGCTTTTGAAGTGAGAGTGCACCAAGACAGATGCACGGGACCACGGCGGGCGGGAGGGAAAGTGACATCTGCAAAGGTTTTCTTTCGTTGTCCAGGGTGCATCTACTGTCAGGTTGGCCTCTAGCATGACGAAACAGTCACTCAGGACATGGAGTTGCAAAGGCTGGCTTTTGGACGGCCAGAGGACCGTGGCGGGAATGGAGACATTCTTAATCCAGTCACATCTGAATTCATGATTTAATTCAGCAGAAGAGAAGAATGCACGAGGCAGTCACTAAGGTTCCTTGTGTGAAATTTCAGTCTCTGAGAGGGGAAGCCTGTCAGAGTGCAGGAGGCTGGTTTTGTCAGAATGAGGCTGTTCCGAATGCCTCTCCAGCAAAGAAGCCCCGCACCATGGCAACACCAGACAGATGAATAGATGGATGATCACCACAGGAAGGTTCAGAACATCCACCTTTCCCACTTTTCCGATGTAACCTGCTTGAGGGGATGTGATGTCAACTGCAGTTGCATGTTGTTTTCATGCCAGGTAACATGCCCGGAGTGTATGGGTGGGTCTGCCCAAGGCATCCCCTAGACAAGACGGGCTGGGACTCGGTTTCCACTGCTCTCCTTCCTTCCCAGTAACACCAATCCAGGCTCTGGAATCCTGCAACTCCACTGATCCTCTGAGATTCACCTCCTGTGAATCTTCCGGTGGCTCTACTGACCTAAGAGCAAAGTCAGCAAGTTCTCCATTGGATGGCTGGGGAGCTCCAGTGTGTCCTCAAGACAGAGGCTGCATACCTCTTTACCTCCTGAGACATGTCTGCAGGGACTGGGCTGGGACACCTGAAACACCATCAGGGTGAGGAGACAGGAGGTCTGAGCAGCCTTGGACACTCGAGGCGGCAGCATGGAAAGTGAACAGAACAGCAAAACGAAAGGCCAGGGAAGGGGCTGCCATGTGTCACAAGGGTGCAAAGTCTCACCCGCTTGGGCGCTCCTGGGCAGAGCAGAAGACTGGGGAGTTCTCAGGGCTCCTGGGGTCGCAGCGGTCGGGACTGCTTGCCTAGTGAGTCTGTAACATCTCTTCTCCAACCCCACTCCTGAGGGTATCACACCAACTTGTGCTGTACCTGTTCCTATCCGTCTGTCCCTCACACTGGACTACACATCTGCACCTCACCCCCACCCCCCAGAACTCTGCTGAGCGCCAGGGGCCTGTGTACACACACTTAGGTGGATACATGCTGATGCTGTATTTGAACAGAACACCACGAGAGGAACCTCAAACACCCTGGAAACACGCTGCACACTAAGCTGCTCGGGCAGTTGGCCCTGTCTCAAAAACAGAGCACAGCAGAAACGACCAAGTTCTACAGGACGAGGTATCTAGGAGCCACGATCTTGAGACAGTCAAGGCGTAACAGCAAAGCCCGACAGAGCATTTAAAAACAAAGTTTTCTGTATTTTCTTTCCTTTAAAAAAAAATTTTTTTTTAACAAATTCTGAGGCTAACAGTACCCAGCTTCCAGTAAGGACAGGAAATCACCTCTGAAACCATGTGACAACCTGACCCGCAAAGGCCCATGTCAAGAACAAGCCACCTCACAGGACCAGCAAAACACCAAGAACCTTTCTGTCGTCTTTTCAGAGTGGGGCCGCTGAAAAGCCAGAATCCAAGTGGCCTGCGCTGCCCCAAGCAAGTGGCACCAGGAAACAGCCATTCAAGCACACAAGCGGCATTTTGTGATCAAATTTATTTTTGTTTCAATTTCACTTACTTTGTTTTACTGTAATTTACACAAGAGACTGCCAAGTCAACGGGGTATTTTACATTCACCACACATCCCCTCAATCTCCACAGTTGTTAGAAAAACATTAGAGTCCACACCAGGCTCTCACTTCCTTGTGTGTCCAAGCTCCCCATGAGACCGCAGATGTGCTTGAGTTAGTTTCATTGGGGGAGAGACTGGGTTCTCCAGTGCCTGGGGTTGGCGATGACCCTTCAGGTGACTGTTCCACTGATGTGACCAAGCCCATCTCCCAACAGTGCCCACAAAATGAACAGAGAGGGCACACGGGACCCAGGGTCTGTTGCGGAGGATGACAGGGAATTGCTGCAATGCGGTGGGAAGCTCTGTCATCGCTCCCACGGGAACACAGGACATGGGAGGAGGGGCATGGAGGGCAAGACTGTCAGCAAAGGGGTTACTGATGGGCTGACTGCAGGGGCGATGTGTTCTGGGGGTTGGGGGAGGACCGTGGGGTAGTGTGTTAAGAAGACAGTGTGTGACCTGAAGGCTTCAACGGTGTGATTCTGGTCAGGCTTCCAGGGCTGACAAGGGAAGACGGCATCAGACAGAAAAGTTGATAAAAAAAAAAAAAATCTCACCTATTATTCTTTAAAAAAAGAAGAGGAGGAGGAAGAGAAAGAGGGGGGGAGGAGGGGGAGGAAGCAGTGTGGGCAGCAATGCCGAGGACCTAGCTGGGCCTCAGGACGGTGACAGCCCTGTACCACACTCAAACTGTTCCTAGCTCCCCGTCAGCATTTCCCCCTGGCTTGGATTGCAACAGGAAAAGAGCTAAATGTCACTACTCTCTCACCCTATGAGCTCAGAGCAACACAGACGGTCTGCATAGTCTCCACACTGGAATTCCAGAAACCACTCCACAGAAGGCCTGCGCACCCGCAGGGTTACTTCCTTTACCGCCTAGTTTGCTTAGCCAGAGTCTGAATATTGTCTAGTGTTTATTATAAATCACAAACCGTCATCACTGTTTTTTGCTAGATTTGATGTAGAAAAATACTTGAAATTCAAAATACAAAAATCCAATAAAAAGTGGCAATTTTAAAAAAAGGATTTCCCCACCCCTCGGGCAAACTAGTAAGGAGCTTTTCTTTGACTCCTTACTTGTTGGGTATTGTTGGATTTGGCTGGAAGATAGTGGCCACCCAGAAATAAATAGTTATAAATACATCCAGAGCTGACTTTCTAGATTCACTGGAGTATCTAAAAATTTGAAGAAATCGTTCTGTAGGAGTCTGTTGCTGATGGGATGAAAATAAAAGTGTATGTGTGGTGACTCGAGAAACAGAAACATAACCAAAGACTACACACACTGGTCCACACCTGGCATTCAGGAAGCACGCCAGCCAGCACCACATGGCACCACATGGCAGTCCATTTATCCATCAAGGGCATCACATTGATGATTATTAAAATCTGTTCCAGGTATATATATTGAAAATATTTTCTTTAGTATTTTTGCTGAAGATCGGTACAGTACTTTGGAGAAATTGTACTGATCCCTTCAATGTTTTGCATGTACATATATACACTTGTGTGTATCTAGGCCTGTAGCCATATGTGTTTTTCATACAGCTGCAGACATACACACATACACACACAAACCTGTGTGTGTGTGTGTGTGTGTGTGTGTGTGTGTGTGTGCGCGCGCACGCGCGCACTTGAGTCATCACCGAGACACTGGTGGCGTCTTCACTCGTCACAGGCTGCACTTGTCCCCCTCACTTGGCCTTGACTCCGTAGCTGTAAAGTAAAGAAGCACACAGCAAGTTAGGCCCAGGCTCTCCTGAGATACTCAATATGGAAAAAATCGGATAGAAAATGTTCCCCAAACTACTGCACCCTAAAACTTTGTTTCTGTTTAAAGACTGGCCATGCTAAAGGCAAAACATTTTATTTCATCACAGAGAAAAGTAAATTCAAAGCAGGAACAAATCACAGAAAGTTAGTACTTAAAGTGGCAATAATTGAAAAAAACAAACAAAACAAAACAAAACAAAACAAAAATCTGGTTTTTGTTTTGCTTTGAATGAAATATAAATAACTTTGGGGCAATCTCAGAAGTGCTACTCAATTCTTTTAGGCATAGCAGCTCCTTTTCATGACCGAACACCTCTCACTTAGTCCATGGGGGAAGGCAGCTCCGTTAAGCGAGCAGCCAGGAGACTCAGTGCAGGTCTGGGCACAGGGCCCCCGCTCTGTCCTTACGCACATCTGCACACAAGAGGAGGTTCTGCTGCTCTTGTTCTCTACGCCTGTGGGGTGGACGTGGACACTCTCTGTTCCATCTATGGAAATGTCGTATGGGCACATAGGCTTTGGTGGAAACACCACAGAAAAATGTTAGGCTTAAAAGGTAAACTACAGAGTAACCAGGGAGACTATGGCACACAGAACACATTTTACCTACAGTGAGCTACTGAAGTTGGCCTGATAGTGGGGCAGGAGGGATCCTGGAACCGCAAAAGGTTCTACCGAGAAACGGTTCCGCTAATCGGCTGGCTATCAAAAGGTCAACCAGCTTCCAGGACAGTGCCACTGACAGCGGGGTGGAGACTGTGACATTCAACCTGGCCCACAGAGTGATCCACAAAACATACATGCTCACAGTTTCTACAACAGGCACCTCTTCAATTCTAAAAGTAGAATCCCGTCAACACAGGCAAGAGCCTATGGCGGGCTCAGCAGTTAATTCCCCATCACCAAAGGCACAGGCTTTTAGACATTCTTTTACCCAGATCTTCACTTACACAGTTTGAAAATGTCTCTGACCTACAGGGGACTCATCTAGGCATCAGCAGCCGACGTGCCTCGGACGGAACCCTTCTTACGCATCTAAATGTAAAATAAAATCATGAGCTGCTAAAATGATTCTATGTAGGGGTTAGTAAGCAAGTGGAGAAAAAAGATCTAGCAATGATTACATAGAGATTGTCTACTTCTCATGGATCCCCAGAAGAGATGTGGTTCTGAGGCTTTCAACTGGTCCTGACTTCAACAAACTTGTGTGGGGTATTCCTTAAACAGCCTGGAAAGTTAACTAAGCATCTAAACCAAGGTCTCTAGTCTGGCAGCAAATTATCAGGGATACAACTGCAAGGAAATTGTCAATATGCTTTGAGAAAACGCTTCAGGGGAGGGGGGCGTAGTCCGTCTCCGGACCAGACAGGAAGCTGTGAAGGTGCTGCTGCTGCTTCTCAGTACTTCCAGGTTTAGTGAAAAGAGCAAGGATCAAAGGAAGAGACACACAGAGGAACAGCACACGGCAAAAGGAACCAGCAGAAGAGCAGGCATGTCTAACAGCTACAGACAAAAAACATAACAAAACAAAACAAAAACACCTCAAAGGAGAAAACCAGAAACAGACAGAAAACAAACAATCCCTTCCCCCCAACCCCCCAGGGTCTGGCCAGTTCTCTTCCACCACCTGGCTAATCCTTACAGCCCTGTAGACTGCAGGCCACACACACATGCATGCATGTGCATGTCCTTTCTATGCCCAACTTAAGGTGCCAGGCATTTTCAAGTCTAAAAGAGATTTAATAAAAAGAAAGCCTATTCTTAAAAGTCTGTGAATTAAGAACATTACAGTGTATGGGAGTCCTTGACTAGGCATGAGAAGAAATTCCTACAGGACTGCAGTCTTCTTCACGGGGAAGGAGCTGCTTGCCTGGTGCTCCCAAACACAGGCCCCATGCTGCATGATTCTGAGGATTGGCACACCCCAACCGATGGAACTATGAGCGTACTGTACTACAGGCATAAAATACTGTGACCTCACAAGGAGAAGCTAGCATGAGGATGGTCAGCACGAACGCTGAGACCTGCCTAAAACACTTCCCAAGTATTCACAGATCAAACAGCCATCTACACCCTGAACCCAGGGCAGAGTGCAGCCAGTTCACGGGGACCTCGTTCACTGAGCCATGAGCTGCTATAGTGCTACTTCCAAATGGCTGGCAGAGCAGCTGCTGATCTTCCGGCCTACGCCACAGGTGGGAGCAAGGGTTGGCACCTCCCGGCTAAGGACTCTCATGGTGTGGTCAGGGATCTGCAGGCTGAGAACCCTGAAAAAACCAAGAGTGGGGAGCAGCAGACCTCTGCCCAAGGGGTCGGGATGCAGGGGCCCGAGTTCACCATCTGTCACCATTCAGCATAAATGCATAGCCAGGGCAAGGGGTCTTTGCTGAGGATGGTTTTCTGCGCCCCCTCCAGGTTCTGGGAAACACTGGCTGGAAGGAGCTGTGCTACAGCTTGAGCAGCTGCTCCGGAGCTGACGGTAGGAGGAGTGAGTGTTTACCAGGAGGCAGGGCACGGCAGGGGAAGGGTCCATGCTGGGAGGGTGGTGCCAGGGCTGCTTTTGGAGGAGCACCTAACTACTGAGAAGAAGTGAGCACAGCGGGTGAGGGGTGCGGAGCAGCATGACCTGTGCTTGCCTGCTTAAACACCCATGGCCAGCCTCAGAACAAAGGGGAGAGGGAGACCCCGCCACTCCTGCGACTCCATCATTCCATCACCCTACTCCAAAGACCCAGAACTCAGAGCTTCAGTAAGAGAAAAACCAACCCCCTTATAATATTGTCTCTATGGGAAAGTACATTCCAAATTCAGTCAACCTAAAATAATCTGGAGCAAAATCCATTTATAAGGTGATGTTTGTCTATAGTTTACTTTAAATATAAGATAGGCTAAAACATTCTATTGCCCTATGAAGAATATACAGCATACTTCTTTCTGAAGATTGGTATAAGGTAATTAGAAGCAGGCCTGCCCTGATCACCCCAAGTAACCAGCTGCAGACAATCCTTCACTGTGCTACAGCAGAGACAGTACCCCTTCCCTGTCAAAGAGCCTGACTTCCTGCCACTCCCCATGACTACATGGGGCTCTAGCCTCACACAGGGCATCAGATACCACACTTGCAGGGCTTGCAGAACCAGGACCTCTGGCGGGACTCAGGGTGACTATGTGGAAGCCCTGAGGGGTCCTGGATATGCCTTGGATTTACTTCCCATTTGGAGAATGAACTACCAACTGCAGAAAAGCATGGTTTAGAGAAAAATCAAAACCAAATCCTTGTGGGAGGAAGCCAAAGAAGATGGCCTTGGAAGAGTGTAGACACCCACTGGCTATGGGCAGGAGCTAGGGCAAGTTTAGCCATGGAACTATCCCCTGACCCCTTGCCAAGGACCACTGGAATCTGCCTAGAGTTTTCCAAGGAAGAAGAGCTCACTGCTAGTTAGGAGAGGGGAGATGGCATCGCTGGACTCGGAGGACTCATAAGCCTCACCTTGCCTATGGAGGGAACTGAGCTGACTGCTGAGCAGGCTGAGCCAAAGGCATCCTGATCAAAAGAACAAGACAGGTACCGTCGCAGAGATGCCTGAGATATTATTTACAAGGAACACATTCTAGGTTAAGAAAGCTCTAGTCCACCTTCAGGAGGCTGAAGGGCATTAGTGTCCAAAAAGTTCCCTTTTGATGAAAATACACATGGTAAGTTAGAAATGGCTTCCAGCAACACTCTCCCCAACTCCAAGTCTATACTTGCTAAGCACGTAACGTTTAGAGAAGGGAAACAGAAATGCTACAGCAAGCCTTACTGTTTCTAGTTCTTTCTGAGTCTCATCTTCCATTCTCCTAATGTCTTCCATCGTCAGGTCAATCCACTTGTCAATCCAACAAAAGAGCTGGCGATGTAGGTTTGTGAATATCCGTTTTTCTTGCTTTTAAAACAAAGTGGGAAAAACATATAGTTAGTGACACATTAACTTTACATGTCCCAAGCAGCACATAAAACGAACTTGTACTTAGTTTGAAAAGACCACTTTATACAATAGCAGAAACTAGGCCAAGTGTGGTGGCACATGCCTTTAATCCCAGCACTCAGGCAGATCTCGAGAGTTCAAGGCCAGCTTGGTCTACATAATGAGTTCCAGAACAGCCAGGGCTGTGCAGAGACTTTGTGAATTCTTTACATTAATTCTACCCTATCATAATTTTATACAGGAGGAAAGGGGCGTGAAGGGGCGGCTCAGCAGGCAATGGTGCTCGCCTCCAAGCCTGAGGACTTCAGCTCAGTATCTGGATTCAAACGGTGGAAGGAGAACCAACTCCCACAAACTGTCCTCTGACCTCCGCACCCATGCAGACGATACACACAACCATACACAACAAACAAACACACATAATTCAAACCTTATTTTCAAAGCTCCCTGAGAAATGGGAAAGAATCTCCACTGGCAAAAGGATGACTGGTCTGGTGGGAGGCGAGAGCACGTGCGGCATGCCTAATTGAATTCCATATGTTCCTGCTGGGCCCTACACTGACACCTGTTCTCAGTGCCCAGGATCAAAGGTCAACTAGGTTCTTCTACAGTCTTCACTGTGCATCATAGGGCACCCTGCACTGAAGGAAAGCCCCAGTGCTCAGAGACACAATGATGAAAGCACCAGGTGTTCTGCATTAATTCTTTTGTGTTCTACATTACTGCCCATGTGTATGTACAGACACAAACACGTATATGAAAACCATGTATAGAAATACAGGCTTTAAATACCCAAATCTTTAAGTTGTATTCAACTTTCCCAAAGAGAGCAAAGTACAACAACTGACACCTTGGGAACAATTCTCCCATTAACAGAAAACTGCATGTTTACACATGCAATTTCCTTTATTGAAACTGGACTGTCGACCTATTTACAATGTCAAGGGGAGAAGGCCAGCACCTACAGTGTACTCAAGGGCTGGCTGTGAATAGGCTAAGAACCACAGTGAGAATCCAGTGCATAACAGGGATGTCTCTTATTCCCTAGATTTCCTCTGTGTATGCATGCACGTCTGTGCACCTCATGCTTGCAGTTCCTGTGGAGGCTACGAAGTGGTGTGGATCCCCTGTAACGAGTGTTACAGATGGCTGTGAGCCATCATGTGGGTGCTGGGAATCAAACCCAGGTCCTCTGGAAAAGCAGCCAGTGCTCTTCACCGAGATGTCTCTCCAGGCCCTAAAGACATCTTTATATGATGATGATGGGGTGGGAGGGATCCTATAGGAAGAGTAAACATAGGGTATTCCCACATCTTCCTGTGTACTTATTTATTTTTTGTTTTTTTGAGACAGGGTTTCTCTGTGTATTATAGTGCCTGTCCTGGATCTTGCTCTGTAGCCCAGGCTGGCCTTGAACTCACAGAGATCCACCTGCCTCTGCCTCCCGAGTGCTGGGATTAACAAGTGCTGGGATTAAAGGCGTGTGCCACCACTGCCTGGCCTTCCTGTGTATTTATAACCTGGTATTTTGTTGTTCTGTGTGGTGTTGGGTAACACTATGCATAAATGTGTTTACACCACTGTGATATCCCTTCTCTATCTAACTGCTCATGTTATCTCCATTTTTTAAAAAGGAATTGGGTAGGGATCCTCAGATCATGTCATCATTTCAGGGTCTATCTACTCTTGGCAAGACCTCTACAGAAGACACTCCAGACAAGACTGCCAGAGAAGTGGCCAGGAAACCAGGTGTCTTCACGGACAGGCTGGTCATGGGAGAGGCTTTGTGCTCGAGTGCAGAAAAACCACTGGAAAAACCTGTGGAAAGCGAGGAAATCACACTGAACACATAAAGCACTGCATTTCTTCTAAGGAAGTCCCTTAAGGGCCGGAGTGGTGGCTCAGTGAGGGTAAGACCTGGTAGCTCCTCCAGAGGACCCAGGTTTGGTTTCCAACACCCACACGATGGCTCTCAACTGTTTGCAACTACAGTTCCAGGGTATCTGATGCCCTCTCCTGGCTTCCAAAGGCACCACATGCATGTGATGCACAGATATACACGCAGACAAAACATCCATACACAAAAGGTAAAACCTTAAAAAAGAAAACAAAGGGGAAAAAAAAAGAAAGAAAAAGATCTCTTAAAATCTCATTATTAGACAGACAGACACAAGGGGACAGTAACTTTCATGTCATAAAGGGGAAAACGCTGGTCAGGAGACCATTTCCCCACAGCCCCTTCTCTCAGCTCCCCACACTGTGAGCAGATTTACCTTCTGGATGAAGTTCTCGACTTTGCTCTGCAGCCCCCACCACTTGAACTTGATGGTCACCAGCTTATAGGCACACATCTTAGGACAGTCAGGGGTGCTCGCCAGCTCCTTCTAGGTGAGAAGATTAGAACAACTGAGAGCTCGGTATTTAGGTTTTGATCGACTGACTGCTGTATAACAACATCACAGACACACAAGGAAAACCAGTCTCACGTTTGGAATCATTTGGACAGAAGAGTAGCATTCCTCTCCTGCCACACACTGAGTCACCTCCCAGCGGTGAGGTCTTATAGAGGAGTTTGTTAGCTGGTGTGTCACTGTAGATTTTTTGGTTTGGGTTTTTCTGTGTGGCACTGGCTGTTCTGGAACTCACTCTGTAGACCAGGTTGGCTGTGAACTCAGAAATCTGCCTGGCTCTGCTTCCTGAGTATGTGCTGGGATTAACAGCATATGACACCACCACCCGGCTTCACTGGAGTTCCTACCTATGGTGAGGTTCTTATCAAGAGCGAGCCTTAAACAAGGTCAAGTTCTCCTTTCTCCCACCACGGAGTTTCACCATTTTCTGTATTTTCAAATATTTCCAAGTGGAGCAGAAGAGTTCGCGACAGCAGAAGGCCAGAGCCAGCAACGCAAACACACATTACTAACAGCACGGCCTGTGCACGCAGCTTCAAACTGCACAGAGATCCACACACTGGTATTCGAGGGATGTAGATGGGAAATCAAGTCTTGCTCGGATAGATGGGGGATACTGCCAGGAACTGTCCTCTGAGCCATGTGACTGCCACCTTGGGGACTTCTGCTGTAGACCTCTTGCAAAAGAATTACCCCCCAGCTGGGACACACGGACGGACGGGGATGGACACACACACACACACACACACACACACACAAACACACACACACACACACAGGGTTGGGGTGGTGAGACATTCACCTGTGTATCTAGCCGCTAGATACCACCTATTGTATGCAACTCTGCTTTAACGACACATGGTCTTGGGTGTGTGTGTGTGTGTGTGTGTGTGTGTGTGTGTGTGTGTGTGAATAAACTGGGCACCTCACTCTGAAAGCTAGCTTCAGCAATTATTAAGTGGAGACCATTTATACATCACACTGTGTTAGGTGCTGTCGGGGGCACACAAAACTGACTCAGAGAATGTATGTGTATTTTATACTTGATGTATATGATGCTCTGCTTGCATGTATCCCTGCACACCAGAAGAGGGCACCAGATCTCATTACAGATGGCTGTGAGCCACCATGTGGGTGCTGGGAATTGAACTCAGGACCTCTGGAAGAGCAGCCGGTGCTCTTAACCTCTGAGCCATCTCTCCAGCCCTCACAAACGTCTATTTTCAATAATAAAACAATGCTGTTGCCCCTGGTGGGAACTGTTCATCCACAAAAACTCCATAGCACAGCACACACAGATCTTCTCAGACATGGGGGTCACAAGTTATGTCAAGTCAGGTCTGGCCACCATCTTCAATAAGCCAATAAAAAGAGTCGATTTTATAGTGAGAAGCAGAAAAAGGAGGGCTACTCAATGTGGCCACCGGGGAAGGGGGACAAAGATGTGCAGCAGAGCCCTCAAGTGCGACTTTGGGTCCTAGAGTGAAAACGAAGCTTAAACAGAGAGCCAAGGCTATGCACGTGAGCCCTGTCAAGGTGCAGTCCTCCCGCCATGACCCGTGGTCATCTCCAGTCTCATCCTAGAAGGTGGTGACAACTCTTAGAGCTGCATGGAATCTCTCTCTGGGGACAAGTTCCCCCTGACAGGCACTTTCTCCTTCTCCTAGCATGAGATTCCTGGGGAAATCCCCACGGCTGAGTCCACTGTTTCAATAATCTCAAGTGACTGAGACAGATACAAGCGTCTCTCTAGAACATCTTCATTTCTACCAGGCCAGTTAAACTGACACGGGCCTCCCTCCCCGTGACTGCAAGCCTGGCTCTAAGCTGGACACCCCGTGTGGATGAGGTCAGCCAGCTTCTACTGGACACCCTGTCTCTGATGTCCTACGGAAAGGATGGTAAGGTGAGCCTTCCACGGACCATCTCTTCAATAAGCAATGAGCCCATGCTGGGGCCTCTGACCCAGTGAGTGCTGCTGAGTGTGAGAGGATGGCTCAAGGGTCAGGCAGGTCTAGCTGGCACCAGGTCAATCCAGCTGTGCTTCCAGCTGTGCAGAACCCTTACCTTCCCTGGCCTCATTCCTCAGATCACTCCATGTTCCACTGAGGTGAACCAGGGCTGAGCAAGCTTAGCTCCAAGGCTGCAGATGGTAAACCAAGCATGCCCTTAACATCCAGTGGCTCGTTAAGCTTCCTATACCTACACATGCCCCTGTCCACACACCCAGGCTAAAGTTTTTCTATAGCTCAGCCCCCAAAACCCTGAACACTGATAGCCCTAAGCACTTTTCAGCTTGGACAAGTTCTGGTAACCCCAAGCTACAAACAGCTTCATTGGAACTTAACCTGCACACCTTATCCTCCACAAAACCTCACCCCATTAGAACAACAGCCCTTCAGAATTCTCCCACAATTTATAACCGCATGGGGGAAACCCAGTTCTAATCAGAAGAGTGAACTAAATGCAACCCAAGCGCCCCCCACAGGCCGGATCCAGGCACACAGCACAGACTGACTCCACAATCAACCAGGCTGTTTCCCACATGCTTCCTAGGGATGCTGGCAAGCTACTTAGAGCCAATTAACACAGCAATTTATAGAGCCTGCACTGGGCCATAAAAATTATTTTAAAAAATGGAACAAAGAAAATCTTAGTTCTTGAAGCTATCTTCCCATACCTCAGATGTATATTTATTTTCAATCTTCTCATTTTCCATCCAATTTACAAGTAGTTATTAAAAACAAAATAAAAAAGCCCACCCCATGAAGGAAGAATATGCAAACCCACTCAAATCTGCTCCAGTAGACAAAGGTCTGCTGCCTCGACTTCCTGCCTCAGTCTTCCTGTAGACGTCGGCCTCTCACTAAGTGACCAGGAAGCAATGAGAAGGTAGTGTCACAGGCAACAACACATGAGCTACACGGTTTCCTTCAGCAATTAGCATAGTGATGGTATTTTAAGTGTCATTCCTGTTTAAAAACGACCAATAGGGAGTCATCCTTTAATCCAGGCTTTAAGCTAGTGATTAAGAACAGGGCTTTACAGGCGGTGGTGGCACACACCTTTAATCCCAACACTTAGGAGGCAGAGGCAGGCGGATCTGAGTTTGAGGCCAGCCTGGTCTACAGAGTGAGTTCCAGGACAGCCAGGGCTACACAGAGAAACCCTGTCTTGAAAAAACAAAGGAATAGGGCTTTAAACATCTCCACACCACTGTTCTGGGGAACAGTCTGACATGGTGGGATGGAAAGTTATTAACATCTTACCATTTCCCTGTTATCAGAGAAACAAATACAAATGTGCTAACTTATTCAGAACAGACCCACTCATAGTCAAGACACATTTTAGGTCTCCTAACAACAGCTACTGTGCGCACAGCCACTAAGGACCACCACTGAGGCCAGGCTGGTCTTGAACTCAACAGCAGTCCTGCCTCTTGCACTGTAGCTGTGGGAAGAGACACCTTTCAAAGATCAACCACTATGGGAGAAAGGGAAAACCAGTGGCAACATGCATATGAGCAGCGACAGACACCTGTAGACAGATCAGGACACACGCCAAATAGTTAAATGAATGGCAGAAATGCAGCTCGTAACAACCAAGTCTTATTTCCTTTTAGGTACAACACTTTATTTTCAAAACTCACATGATTTTATCGCTGGGAAGTGGTAACTTTATTATTTAAAAACAAAACCTGAGTCTTAAAATACTGTGGCTCTCAGTCACATATTTTAAGACAAAGGCTTCCTTTACCTTAACTTTTATGGGCACTATTTCAAATTGTCCTCTTTTCTCTGCCTATGACAATCTAAATGTTTTGGGGCTCCCTCACCCCCTTTTGATATTTAATACATCAAAGCGAAACAGACTGAGGTGAAAGTTCAGTTAGGGCATAAACTTTTTGAGATTTTACTTACTTATTTGTAAGTACGAGTGTCTACACTAACCAAAGAGGAAGGCACTGGATCCCCTGGGACTGGAGTTTCACATAGTTGTGAGACTCCACGTTGGTGCTGGGAATTAAACCTGTGTCCTCGGGAAGAGCCAGACGCCAGTGCTCTTAACCACTGAGCTGTCTCTCCAGGCCTTCAGTCAGGGCCTTTAACAGATAATGTGGGCCCAGCCCACGTTTAATTGTTCCTAAGAGTAAACAATGCAAAGTAAAGCACAAGCATTCATGGGCCGGGCTACCAGGCCGTCCTGTAAAGATGTGTAACCGGGGATGGCTTAGCAGGTAAAGGCACCTGCTGCCAAGCCTGACTACCTGAGTTCCACTTCAACCTCTCGGTGCCAAGTGACAGGAGAGAATCAATTCCTGCAAGCTTTCCTCTGCTCCTGACACATGCTGTGGCAGGCAAACACATGTGCATTCAAGTGCCTGCTCATGTACACAGCCGCACACAAGTAAATGTAACAAAAAATTTTCAATTTTTTTAAATTTTATGTGCATGAGTGTTGTGTCTGCATGTATGTATAGGTACCACATGTATACCTGGTGCTTGCAGAGGTCAGAAGAGGGCATCAAATCCCCTGGAACTGGAGAACTGGTCATGAGCCAACATGTGGATACTGGGAACTAAACCCAGGTCCTCTGCAAAAACTAATGCTCTTAACTGATAAGCCATCTCTTCAGCCCCTAATTAAAAAAAAAATTAGGAAACAATTTTCAAAGATGTGAAAATTCCCACTGTGACAGAAAGAAGCTCTAGCTTGTACAGGTCCCTAGGAGCTCAGCTGCTGTAGGCCACAGCTTCCCGGTTCTTTACAAACAATACGAATGTGTCTGAATTCTTTCTTCTTGATTGCTTTAAAAACAACTGCCTCTCAAAACAAAAAAAGGAGGGTGTGAATCAAGTGAAGGTCTTCCACACATTGCTCCAATCCAGATCAAACTGAAGATTTTCCATTATCTGCATCAAAGCAGCTAAGGATAATTCTGCTAGTTCACAATACCATTATTCTGCCAGTAA